AAAGGATTTCATGGGGTGAACGATGTGCTAGCACACACAGATGGACCCCAAAACACAGCCACTGGTCCTGAGTCTGAGTGGGAAATTAACGAGACAGAGGGGGCTTCCAGACGTTCCAGGGGAAACTCCATTAGCTTTTTATTCCATTTTTCCCCACACACTTTTAGAAGCCCCCCCCCTATGTAATGAATGAAAAAAACAAAACCACTGTCACTGAGCCCATTCTGTCTCATGCTGACCCTGTAGGGCAGCCTCATCTTTCTCCTGAGAAGTGGCTGCTGGGTTTGAACTGCTCACCTCGAGGCTAGCAGCTGATACATAACCCATTATGCCACCAGGGCTTGTAGACACAGTAAGAGGCCTCACGTGCTGAAGGCCTGGGTTCAGATGTCATCGCTGCCACTTTCCCACTGAGCTTTGGGAAAGTAACTTAAATTCTAGAAGCTTCCATTTCCTCCCCTGCAAATGAGGCTACTCATTGATTGGCAGCAATATTGTGGAGAGCCCACACGGTGACTGTCACGGGATCACTGGGACGTGTGAAGGAGGAGACACTCATACATAATCCTTACTGTCACCACGAGACGTACACCTTTCAGGTGCCTATCATATCAGCTAGGCCAGACTCACTCAAAATGTTCAGAAAACTAAGAGCATATTTTCAAGGGGAAAGACAATTCTTTGAGAGGTTTTATGAATGAGGCTCTCTCTTTTAATGCTGGTGTTTCATTTTCACTGACGGGGGAGCTCAGCAGCACTCCTCAGAGTGTGCTGTCCATATGGATGACTGACTGCGAGCTCGTTCCATCTTAGACTTTATACAAAGGGGTGCAAAAAAACAAAAAAACCATAAAAGAGCTCCGCAGGCGGGCGCTTGCACAGTACACAATGTCCCTGCCGGGCGAGCACTGAGCAGCATCAGCAGCTCGCTGGCTTAGTGCGCCCCATGGCGTCGCCGGAGAAGGTGCTCTCTGGTAACAGTGAATTTTTTCATAAAAGCAGTTTCGCCCAAGCCTCCCTTAAGAGAACAGCGTGCGACTGTGAAAGTTTGTTTCCTGCTCAGGAAAACTGCTGCAGAAACTGTTGTGATGTTGAACACAGCTTACAAGGACAGTGATACGGGGAAAACTCAAGTGTACGAGTGGTTTTCACATTTCAAAAAAGGTGAGATGTCGACCGATGACAAACTTCACTCTGGACCTGCATCAACTTCCTGAATGGACAAAAATGTCAACTCACAGTGCATTTGGAGTTTGTTCCACCAGGTCAGAGTGTTAAGCTTTCTGTTTAGAGGTTCTGAAAAGATTGGGTAACAGCGTGCGACAAAATAGGCCTGATTTTTGGCAGAAAAGGGACTG